TTGATGAGGAAGCCTTGAATTACCACCGTGCTGAGTTCCGGGTGAGTGACTCCCAAGACACGTACGGACTTCAAGCTGAGCCATGTCGCTGAGCCATGTCGATGGATGGTGAACCATCGAAGTAGACGACCTCGGACGACAAGCATAATGGTGACAGGAGCAGCTGTTTCGGTGGCAGCGAAAGTGTTGACAATGAACATGATGAGGAATCATGTGGTTGCTGGAACTGATGACGACGATGATGGGGGTGATGTGTCTTGATCACGATCGCAGTTCGAGTTTTTTCAGTCGTGATGGATGTAAGTTTGGTTCCTTTCTATTAACTGTCTCAGTCCGTGCACCTTGCATCCCACTGATGTTCCCAAGCTCTTCGGTTTGAAGGTGTCTGCCACGGTGAAGGCCTTCATCAGCACGCCCCTGAGGGTGACTTCGGGTCGGTCTCCTCCTGGTCAGTGAGCTCTTCTGCTAATCGATCCCGGCAGGTAGTGACTGATGCAAAGCAAGAAACGATTATTGCCAACGTTCTTGCGTTTACAAAATCACAGGGGTCTGAAGCCCAAATGCCGAAACCACGGTGGTTTAGAGCTTCGGCTTGAGCTCGAGTCCATGTTTTCTTCTGCCCAGAGCATCGCATGCCCCAACAACGGCTAGCTATTGCTGACGGAAGCAGCAGCAGCAGCTGCCAGCAAGCAGCAAATGCAGCAGCCTACACCGCCACAACATCGACGCCAGAAGCGGCAACGGCACGAGCACGAGCAGAAGTGCACTGGCACCAAGGCATGTCAGTGTGAAACTTTCGACGTCCAAGCTTCGAGGTGCCGACCTGCCGAACGAGCTCATTGAGCTCCTGGAGAAGCGCCCCGGCTTCTTGAGGAGGGCGGCCTGGCGGTCTTTGCCAACTTTTCAACCATTCACTTCCGAAGTTCCATAGCCCACGACCCCACATGAACACTCCCACGCGGTTCAACCTTCTTAGTATGGGCTGCTGGCCTACAACCTGAAGTTTTGTACGGAGTAAAGCGAATCAGGCTTAGCAGGGCGGGTACTGCAGAGGAACTGCAGCGGCACTACGAAAACGGAAAACGGAGGGCTGCAGTCTCGAAGGTATGTTCATTTTAGACGTGGGCTTTGGAGAAGTTCGAGTCGCAATGCAAGTCTCTAACAGCACCGCAACCCGGAGCCCCAACTCCGAACCTCCAACATCACTGCTAGAAACAGGATCTAAGATTCAGATGCCATGGAGCGCGATTTCGTGTCCCTTGGCCAAGGATTGTGCTCCACAACTCTGACTTCAGTCTGGTCCTTGTGGCCTCTGTCGATGTGATCTTTGCGAAGAGCCGCAACTCTCACAAGCGTCGAGATTCGAGATATATGGAACACCAACGGCACATGTGTTCAATCCTGAGCCCTGAGCCCGCAAGCATCACCGAGACCCGGGTGTTGGTCCCCGTCAGCAATTCAGATCATATATATATATATATATTTACCTGACGCACCTTCAAAGGATCTTGGCCAGAAGGTGCGGCAGCTTCCTGTAGGTCCTGATCTGTGTTGACTCTTTGGGTCGAAGAGGACAAGGCGCAAACCCTAAGCCAAAAAAGCAGAACGCACACCTGTCAAGACTCTCAAGACCCCAGCTCCTGTCAAGACATCAATCCCTGCACTCTCATCCTCTTCATCCTCGCCCCCAGACAGCTCAGCATCCGAAAACAGAAGCCCTGAGACCAGAACCCGACAAGTACACGTGCGACAGTCAAAGGCCTGAAGCCCGAACCATTTGTATGCTTTGCATCCAATTGGCATCCCGGGCTCTCGAGACTACGCCCAAGAATCGCCTAGTTTCAGAAAGCGCCAAGGGTCCACAAACCTGTGCCGAAGGCAGTGCATAACGCAGACGGTCGTGGTAGGGCGTCAGTAGGACAGAAGGAGACAAGAAATCAGTGCGAGACCACCAGTACATGTCACCGGGTCCGAGAAAATCGTATTCTGCTGTATAGGCCATTCCATGACCTGGGACCTGGCCACGGCAACTTTCAGGCAAGAACCGAAACCTCCAGAACCTGCTCGTGCTTACAGCCATCAAAGCCGACAAGTTGCTGCCTCGGTGTGGTGTGGTTGGCTTCACCGCTTTGTGGTTTCTGGCCCTAAGGGCATTGAAATTGAAACGTCCCTCACAGCTGGCTTAGGAGTTTCAAGGCGGTACGCCCTACATCCTGTTCCCTACGAAACGAGGAATTCAAATTTTCTGGCAAGGGCAGGATGGGGAGCACCTGAGGTTTGGGGCATCAGGCTTTCAGGGCTGCGGTTTGAGGATGCGCGATTTCGGAATCTTCGGAGGCAGCCATATCATAACCATCCCGCGCGTTACACGTCTCACATTTGGCCCTGCCAAAAAATCCTGCACCCCACGGAAACAGCAAAACTGTACCTAAGGCCTACACGGCCAACCGCCTTGCTAGGCCCAGGTCCAAAGCCAACTCGCCAGGCCTTTCCGAATCTTCAACCTTCAACCCCGGCTGCGAAAGCCACTTTGGAATTCACTGCTGAGCAGAGCGGTGCCAAAACTCTCTTCACCCTGACCGTAACTGGCACGCTTGTACGACAGGGACCGCGTCATGGACTACATCAACCGCCTGGACAACTACGACGGCCCCGAGATAGCAAAGATCGCCTTGGCCCCAGATGCTCCATTAGGGAGCCTGAAGCTATCGAGAGACTGAACCCTTGGTCCTAAATCTTGTAGATAGACACCTTCCACCGAGTCTCTCAGGCCCTCGGCGATCCTTATGGCCTGTACGAGGAGGCGCGCAACGGAGGTGTCAGGCTGTAAGAGGAGAAGTGTTGAGCTAGATTTTGCTCATTAAGAGCTTGATTGTTTTAGGTATTGTTGCTTGGGGGGCCCAGGGACTTTGGGGTGAATTTGGTGGATTGTGGTTTCAAGGTTTCGGGTCTAGGAGTAACGAAGGGCTTGAGGGAATTGAGAGGCTCTTACTCTGGCGTGTCCGACTGGATGGACTTTTGCTGCTTTGTACATGCTCGAACCTGAAGGGAGCGTTGCGGAATGCATCGAAGACGATGTTCCTCTTCCTTTCCTGAGAATAGTTGGCTAGAGCCTTTTCGGAATCCCACCCTGTGTTGTCTGTCAGCGTCGTTCCGATGGTTCGTGAGTCGCAGAAGCGACTTCGCACAGACCGCCAGCTGCATCGTGCAAGCTGGCGCGAATCCGACGAATGGCTTCAAGATTTCTCGGGCAGGATTTTGGAGCTCCGGAGTGTTGCTGCCAAGGTCCTAGCTAGATGTAGAGTTTCATCTTTTGAAAAATCATACCGAAGGCTTTCATCATCTACAAGAAGTGCGGCCAGAATGCTGAAGCAATGGAGTGGTCCACTCGGGTCTTGTCTTGGGGGCCTAACTTCTGCAGCCCGAACCCTG